TGAGTGTAGGCCCAAGCACTGAAGGTGTTGTGGCTGTCTCCCTCCCCGTACCCCGGGGTATGTGTGGGAGACAACCAGCTGATCTGGCACTCTCACATTGATGATCCTCTCTCTTTCTCCCTTTCCTCCACTCTCTGGGCCGGGGGTGGGGGTGGGGGTGGGGGGGTGGGGGGTGGGGGAAGCAATGGAAAAATATCCTCAGGTGAGGATTACAAATAATTTAAAGCTAAAATATGTATACTTAAATATGATCAATGTGCCTGGGGATATATTTAGAAAAATGAGGGGTGGGTGGGGGTGTCTTGTCCTGGCCAGGTGGCTCAGTTGGTTGGAGTGTCATCCCATACATCAAAAGGTTTTGGGTTCAATTCCCAACCAGGTCACATACCTGGGCTGCAGATTCTATCTCCAGTCCCCAGTTTGGAGGAGTATGGGGGGCAACTGATTGATGGTTCTCACATCGTTTCTCTTCCCGCCCCCCCACCCCCATTTCCATCCTCTTCCCTCCCTCTCTTCCTCTCTAAAATAAAACATCTCCTCAGATGAGAATTAAAACTAAGGCAGATGTTTCTTGTAGAAACCCTGCTTTATAACCCTGAATGTTCAGAAAAGCCAGTGCCCATGTGGCTTGGAAGGATGATTGGATACAGATAAATGAGCTTAATATCTTTCTCTTGAAATTTTCTTGCACAAAATATTTACTGAAATAGGTTTTTTTTTTTACAGAAACAGGTTTCATTTGGGTTTTTTGTTTGTTTGTTCTTTGTGTTTAATATCATCCTGGAGCTCCTGGCAGGACTGCCCCTAGGGTTTTCTATCAACAGCACTAAATTGCTTACCTGCACATGAAAAGCTATTGGTAACTTGATTTTTTTAAAAACTACCATAAGAATTAGCCCATTTTTCCAAAATAAATACTGAGAGATTAGAACTAAAGTTAATAATCTTAATGGAGATAGATTTGATCTTAGAAACTATCGTTAACTCATAAGAAATACCTGAAGAAGCACTAATAAACTGTCCGACTTTGTTTTTCTTCGCTCTAGTTGAGATTACAGACATCCTGCCAAGATGTTCTCTACAAAGCCCAGACTTGTCGTACCTTACGGCCTCAAGACGCTGCTCGAGGGAGTCAGCAGAGCCGTCCTCAAGACCAACCCACCCAACATCACCCAGTTTGCAGCATTTTATTTCAAAGAACTTATTGTGTTTAGAGAAGGCAGGTGCTACCATATTTAGGTTGGAATAGATGATATTTCCTAATACAAAAACATCCTATAATTCTAGTTTTCTAATTCATTGAGTTAAAACTTTATACACAGTTTCTTTAAATTGAGGAATGCTTTTATTAATATGACAGATATATCATAGACTAGAGGCCCGGTGCACGAAATTCATGCACTCGGAGGGTCCCTCAGCCCAGCCAGCACCCTCTTGAAGTCCAGGAGCCCTCAGGGGATGTCCGACTGATGGCTTAGGCCCGCTCGTGGAGAGTGGGCCTAAGCTGTCAGTCACTCATCCTTGGTGCTGCCACAGAGGCAGGAGAGGCTCCCACCACTGCCTCAGCACTCACCAGCAGTGAACCGGGTGTCTGGCTGAGCGGTGCTCCCCCTATGGGAGCTCACTGACCACCAGGGGGCAGCTCCTACGTCAGTGATGGCGAACCTATGACACGCATGTCAGAAGTGACACGTGAACTCATTTTTTTGGTTGATTTTTCTTTGGTAAATGGCATTTAAATATATAAAATAAATATCAAAAATATAAGTGTTTTACTATGGTTGCAAATATCAAATAGTTTCTGTATGTGACATGGCACCAGAGTTAAGTTAGGGTTTTTCAAAATGCTGACACGCCGAGCTCAAAAGGTTCACCATCACTGTCCTACATTGAGCATCTGCCCCCTGGTGGTCAGTGTACGTCATAGCGACCAGTCATTCTGCTGTTCAGTTGACTTGCATATTAGCCTTTATTATATAGGATTATATATTTGTTTCTGCAAAAAAGCATTTAAGTTGGGGAATTTTTTGTTTCTGATTTCCTGTATTTATTTCCTCAGGGAACATTCCTCTGGATATAAAAGATCTGGTTAGACAATTTCATCAGATTAAATGTAAGTACCACAAGTGGTAATAGCACAATAATATTAGTAATAAGTTATTGATTAGCAATAGCACACATTCAAACTTAAGATGCCCACAAACGTTTTCTCTCTAAATAATTGCACTTTATGTTGAAATAAACTGATGCTTTATTTTTTATTATTGGATTAGGTTTATTTATTAAATCTAGGACTGACATTTTGGAAGGTTCTCAATCTTAAAAAGGCAAAAGTAGGAAACGTACACTGAGTGTAAAGAATGTGATTTAACAACCTTTGAACGTGGCATATATATGTGTGTGTGTGTGCGTATATATATATATATATATATATATATATACCACGTGTATATACACACACACACACACACACACACTGAGCAGCCAGATTATTATGACCCCCCTATCAGTACTTCGTTGGGCCACCTTTTGCCTTCAATACTGGGGCGATTCTTCTTGTAATTGACTCCACAAGATGTTGTAAGGTGATGCGAGGAATCTGACACCATGCCCGATGAATAGCACTGTCCAGTTCTGTGAGTTTTGATGGTTATGGAACCAGCTGCCTGATGGCTCTTTTAACTTCGTCCCACAAATTCTCAATTGGATTGAGATCTGGTGATTGTGGGGGCCACCTAAGCAAGGTAAAGTCTCCCTCATGTTCTTGAAACCACTCCTGCACAACACAAGCACCGTGGCATGGTGCATTGTCTTGTTGGAAGAAGCCATCTCCATTGGGATACGCCAGTAACATGATAGGATGAACTTGATCAGCAACGATACTTAGGTATGTTGTGCTATTCAGACATTGTTCCATACGAATTAAAGGGCCCAAATCACGCCAGGAAAACATGCCCCAAACCATAACACTGCCCCCACCAGCTTGAAGGGTTGTACTCATGCATGTGGGGTGCATGATTTCATGCTGTTTCCGCCACATTCTCACTCTGCCATCTGCATGATGCAACTGGAAACGTGATTCATCAGACCACATGACTTTTTTTCCAATGCTCGACTGTCCAATCCTTGTGGACAGTCGTTTTATCTTGGTAACTGCAGACAGCAAAGGTGTTCGAACAGGCCTTCGGCTTCCATATCCCATACGATGCAGTGTACGGCTAATTTGCCTACAAATGTCAGGTGGCCATAATAATCTGGCCACCTAGTGTATATATATCCCACGTTCAAAGGCTGTTAAACTGCATTGTTTACCCATATCTTCAGAAAAAAATCACTTCTACTGTCGTGGTAAACAACCTGCTTCCCTATTTATAATGGTCTGGCCCTCTAGCAACTTCAGCGCGAAATTATAGCTAATTTGCCTAGAAATGTCAGGTGGTCATAATATTCTGGCCACTCAGTGTATATTGCAAGCCATTTGGTACAGTGAGACTTACAACAGTGTATGAGCTGTGACTCAAACCCTCTCCAGCAGGTTTCCGAGGATTTGTCTTGAGGGAAGCACAGCAAATCAAAGAGAATTGGTTTTGTAGTAAAAAAAGACTCAACTACATAATATATAGGAAAGCTGCATAAACACTCTCCTTGGAAGATCCTTTTTATAAAGAAAAGCTTAACCACCTCCCTCCTCCCCCACCTCAGTAGTGTAACTGCAGTCCAGGCTGGAAGACAATTAGGAAACAAGTTTGTTGTCACTGGCCATCTTTCCTAGTCGTCCTAAGTCTTAAGATAATGAATTCAGTAAATGCGCAATGAGAGGATGGGTCCTAGAGGTTTCATTCTAATATTAGGGAGAGGCAGAGAGGCTTTACCGGTGAAGTAAGTAGTTACAGCTCAGGTGGTCACACAGGCGTGTGGGTGACAAGCAGAAACAACCTTACAGTTGTCCAGCTGTAGGAGTTTCTAGGTCATCAGCTGCCTTGACGTTCCTGGAATTTCCCTCTTGCTGAGGGTACACCCAGGGATCCAGAAATCTCTTTTTTGCTCCTTTTTTGTCGGGGTCAGGGGGACTGGCTGCATTACCCCAGCTCACCAGCAGGGGCTACTGCTTTTAGGTAGGAATAGATGTTGTTTCCTAATAGAAAAACATACTGTAGTCCCAGGTTTCCAGTTCATTACGTTAAACTTTAGACGCCAGTTTCTTTAATGTGAGGAATGCCTTTATTACAATGGAAGGCATTCCATAAACCAGCGGGAGGCTGGGTGTTCCTGGCTGGGGGAAGTCTGTCCCCGCCCTGGTTGTGTGTGGCAGTTGGATCGGCAGCTGTTCCCACTGAGGTTCCAGCTTCCTCATTTCCAGGCAGCATTAGTGTCTTTCCTTAGGTGCTGACCAGCTGAGTTGGCAGCTGGTTGACTTTGTTGTCATGCCACCGGAATCACTCACTTTTCAGGAGATGGACGGAGGGAGAGTCTTGAAGTGGGCAGAGCAGGGCAGTCACATTCCATTCCCCACTACATTGCAGATGATGTAAAATCAAAGCTCTTCTGTACTCGTGTGTATAGAATTGACGTGTGAATGTTTAGCCTGTTGCTGCTTCTTTAATGTGTGTCATTGGGGATGTACGCTTACTAACCCCGGCTGCTATTTCAGTTGAGAAATGGTGCGAAGAAAGGACAGAAGAGAAGAAGCCAGAGTTCATAAAAGAACCAGAAGAAGCAGCTGCCGTTCCCAAAGAGCCGACCCGGGTGGAGAAGTCCACGGACACGGAGGAGGACCACATCTTCGGACCCCAGTTCATCCACAAGACCACGCAGTTCCCGTCCGTGTATGCTGAGCAGCAGCCAGCGCCGGAGGACACAAGCAAGGCAGTCCGTCCACCCAAGCCATCCACCCCCAAGACTACCCCCACCTCGTCACCATCCCCGGTTGACATCCCACCAGAGTTTGCCTATGTCCCCGCCGACCCTGCTCAGTTTGCTGCTCAGATGTTAGGTAACGTTTCATCTACTCATTCTGATCAGTCTGAAGTTTTAATGGTGGATGTGGCAACAAGTTTGCCTGTTTTTTCCAACGAGGTGCTGACTTCAGAGGTTGCTGAAGACACTGTGGTGACCACTTCTGTAGCAAATTCTGGAGAGAGGGTAGCAGTGCAGGTGGCAAGCCACTCCTCTGTCCATGTAGCTTTGGGGTCTAAGCCTACAGACGATCAGGCTGAACCAGCAACGGCTCCCTCACCCTCCTTGCAGGATGAACAAGACCTCCCTGCCTTTGATCAAGCTCCTCGGGGGTCCTGGCAGGCTGGCACTGGGGGGAAGGCCACCCCTCATATCTCATCTATCTTTAACGACAAGCCTGTGATTGAAGCAGTTACTCATATGGAGCGAACATCAGAAGAAGTAGTTATCGCTTTTTCCGATCACATTGTTAGTCTTAAAGAGATTGAGCAGTCACCACCAGAGAGTGCCATTCTTATAGAAAAGAGAGTCTCGGGCGGGCCTGAAAAAGCTGAGGGTTCTGCAGCACTTGCCCCATTGGAGGATGCAAACCATCCCTCCGTGCAGGTGGAGGCAGAAGCAACCATTCTGATCTCCGACACCTCTCTGAAAGGCCTGCTTGCACAGTCCCTGAACCCAGAGGGCGCCGCCCAGGCCATAGGCTCTCAGAGATCTCTGCATCTTGAAGTGGAGATCATTGCGCTAGTTCCCGGGCAGGAGGAGGACTTGGCCCCCCCGGAGGCGGAGGTCAGACCCAGGGGCTCTGGGGAAGCTGCCCAAGCCAGGCAGGAGGAAGACTCCGCCCCCCCGGAGGCAGAGGTCAGACCCAGGGGCTCTGGGGAAGCTGCCCAAGCCAGGCAGGAGGAAGACTCCGCCCCCCTGGAGGCAGAGGTCAGACCCAGGGGCTCTGGGGAAGCTGCCCAAGCCAGGCAGGAGGAAGACTCCGCCCCCCCAGAGGCAGAGGTCAGACCCAGGGGCTCTGGGGAAGCTGCCCAAGCCAGGCAGAAGGAAGACTCCGCCCCCCCAGAGGCAGAGGTCAGACCCAGGGGCTCTGGGGAAGCTGCCCAAGCCAGGCAGGAGGAAGACTCCGCCCCCCTGGAGGCAGAGGTCAGACCCAGGGGCTCTGGGGAAGCTGCCCAAGCCGGGCAGAAGGAAGACTCCGCCCCCCCAGAGGCAGAGGTCAGACCCAGGGGCTCTGGGGAAGCTGCCCAAGCCAGGCAGGAGGAAGACTCCGCCCCCCCGGAGGCAGAGGTCAGACCCAGGGGCTCTGGGGAAGCTGCCCAAGCCAGGCAGGAGGAGGACTCCGCCCCCCCGGAGGCAGAGGTCAGACCCACGGGCTCTGGGGAAGCTGCCCAAGCCAGGCAGGAGGAGGACTCCGCCCCTCCGGAGGCAGAGGTCAGACCAGTGGGCTCTGGGGAAGCTGCCCAAGCCGGGCAGGAGGAAGACTCCGTCCCCCCGGAGGCAGAGGTCAGACCCGTGGGCTCTGGGGAAGCTGCCGAAGCCTTGCACTCAGGTGCCTCAGTAACGCCAGAGATCGAACCCGAAGGGGAGGCAGCACCTGCACCAGGTTTGATGGAGCCAGGTAAGAAATAGATACCACCTTAGACATAGCCTGGAGTCACGTTTCAGGCAGCGTCGTATTTCAGGTAACCGTCTAGGAACAGCCCCTGCAGATTGGTCAGACTTCATTTTAAATAGTTTTTAAAATGCCAAACCCACGGAAAGGTGCTGCTGTTGTGGAGACATTACTCTTCGGAGCGATTTTGGAGGGACATGAAATGGGCCTGACCTTGGTCCTCAGCATTTGCGTGGCCTCCCCCGGAACAGATTGGAGTGGACCGGAGCCTGTCGACTGTGCCCATGGATGGCCCCTGTGGCCCTGCACTCGGGGGCACCTGACCTCGTGCTTGGAGGGTAAGGTCCCACGGCAGCCGTGCACTTCCCTGGGCTGTGGCATTGCACGTGGAATACATGGTGGTGTGTTCGCCTCTGCTCTCGCCCCACGTCTGAGACTCTGCAGCCAGGTTTGGGGAGCTGGACTGAGCCCTGGTTCTTCCTGCCGTGGAGGGAAGACAGGTTAGGTTAGGCTCTGTCCCCAGGAGAGCAGGGAGGTGGCAGCAGCGGAAGGACAGGTGGCACTGAGCAGTGGGCACGGCTCCCTTCTCAGCGTCCTCACAGAGCCCATACCTGCCTTCGCCTGTGGGAGCCACTGCTTCCCTGGACACAGACCCGCCTGGCCTCCAGCTCATCTGATGGTGGCATTGGGTCAGCTCCCTCCTGCCCGTCCACACACGGTCAGGGCCCGTCGCCCTATGGGGTGGACGGGATGAGCAGGAGCCAGCCTCTCCATGCCTTTTGCAGACTCTCAACGTTGACTCTTACCAGAGCCAAATGATGGCTTACAAAGCAGGTGTTTAGACCTAAATTCTGTCTGGCAGCATGTCAGGGACTCTGTGCAGCTGGGAAGGCAGCGGCCAGGGCTGGAGTGGCCACGGGAGGCAGCGCACCTGTGGCTCGAGCAGCACTCCACACCGAGGCACTGCTCTCAGGTGCTGGGCTCTTCCCCGTGGGCGCCCAGGGCTCTTGAACAAAGCACCGAAGGCGTGGCTGATGTGTGTTTCAAATGAGCTCCAGGAAGTAGCAAAGGTCGGGAGCTGTGGGAGACACACCAGCGTGACCCTGTGCGCAGTGGAGGTGTTTTCTGGGGAAGAGAAGCTGCACAGGGACACAGGGACAGTGCCCGCAGGTGAGCCTCCCACACCCGGGCCAGGCAGCTCTCCCCTCAGGAGCCTCCCCTCCGCCCAGCTCCCAGGACTCAGCGCTGTCTGTCGGTGAGTCCACCCCATTAGCTAGTCCTTGGCACAAGCAGGTGGACAGCACACCCAGGCCTCTTTCCTTAAAGAACCTGTGGGACTGACCAGCCGTATGCCCGCGAGGATTTGTGGGTTCAAGCCTTGCTCCCCGGGGTTGGAGTCCTAGATTGAGTGACAGGTTAATGGGAGAGAAGGGTGCCTGTGAAAAGGCAGAGATACTGGATTATGTGACCAAAAGACGACACCTCGTGCAGACTTTTTTTTTAAAAAACAACAACATTTTTATTGATTTCAGAAAGAGGAAGGGAGAGTGGGAGAGAGATGGAAAGGTCTGTGATGAGAGAGAAACACCCCACACTGGGGATAGAGCCCCAACCCAGGCATGTGCCCTCACTGGGAATTGAACTGTGACCTCCAGGTTCATAGGTTGATACGCAACCACTGAGCCATGCCGGCTCAGATTTTTTAGTCAAGAAAAAATTATTATGCAGATGCAGTCATCTTTTCTCCGTGGCTTCACCCACTGTCTAGTGGATTCTCTCAGTCCCATTTCCCCTCGAGGGCCCTGAGGCAGCCACGTCTGCAGCTGAAGCCCCTGGAAACAGCCACTTGGAAGGGGCCGCTTTCCTCACAGCCGGTCCCCCCACGTGCCCTCGCAGCCCTGCTCCGCCTCCTGCTGTGGAGACTCCCTTCATGCTGCCAAACACAATTTACAGAGCCCTCTCTCTAGCATGCTTTATGGCACATGTTACTACAGCTGTTCATCTATTCGTAAAACATTTACAAAGATAGTTCTGTGCATAGCGCCTGATACAGAGACCAAACCTTTAACGCCTGCAAATTTTTGTTTTATAGCAATAGCAACAAGCGAAGCAGGACAGCCACCACCATATTCTAACACGTGGACCCTTTACTGTCTAACTGATATGAATCAACCAAGCCGCCCATCACCGCCACCTGCACCTGGGCCTTTCCCCCAGGCCACCCTCTATTTACCTAATGCTAAGGATCTGCAGAGTCCACCGAAAGTCACTTCTCCAACTTACGTGATGATGGACGACAGCAAGAAGGCCAGTGCCCCGCCTTTTATCCTAGTAGGCGCCAATGTCCAGGAAGCGCAGGACTGGAAGCCGCTTCCCGGGCACGCGGTCGTGTCCCAGTCAGATACCCTGAAGAGATACGCGACAGTCCAAGTGCCCATTGCCGTTCCTGCAGATCAGAAATTCCAGAAACTCCCCCGACATGCCCAGAGTGCTAGTCCTCCTTCCAGTGGACAAGAAGGTCCCCGGCCACAGAGCCCAGTTTTCCTTTCTCTCGCTATCCCGGTAGAAGATGTAGCCAAAAAGTGTTCAGGATCTGGTGACAAACGTACCCCCTTTGGAAGTTACGGTATTGCTGGAGAGATAACCCTGACTACTGCCAATGTCCGCAGAGCAGAACCCTAATGCCACAGGTAATCCCCCACGGTGGGCCTTCGCACATTTGGTTTTCAGCACTCTCATTTGTTGACCTGGAGACTGAGAATTCTTAAAACATTGAATTGAATTGAGATGTGCAGAGAGTTGGAGTATTCTCTGACTCAATGAGATGGTCTCCACTGATGGGGGCACAGCAGTGCACGCACCCAACGGCCCACCGAGGGTCAGGGCCTGGCACAGCCCTCAGCACCCTCACTCTGAATGCCTGTCGGCGTGTGTAGCTCCCATGGAAGGCGCTCCAAAAGGGCATGGATTGTTTTTTAAAAGGACAGCCTTCGGTGGGAATCTACCAGTGGGCGTGTTTCAGGGTGGGGACAAGCCTCGGGACAGCTGGAGAGCCAGGCAGGGCTGGGAGATTGTGATGGCGTGCCCAGCCAGTGTGGTCAGACTTGTTCCCTCAGAGAGAGAATAGTCACAGCAGAGGACAGGTTGGAAACGTGAGGGAGCTAAGGAGCCAGAGTGGACCTACACGAAGATGCGGGTTTTATCTGTCACTTAAAATGCCAGTGCGAGTCCCTCCCGCCACGGGCGTATTAAAGAGCAACTCAAACAGGGAACCAGTACAGAGGGCTGAGCAGTTTGAGGAACAAGGAACCATACAGGCTCGCCATCAGGCTCATAAGCTGCTGCCTAAGGCTGAGGGAGCCTGCCCTGCAAAGGGCCACAGACAGACCTAGGGCTGGAGAGCGATGGGAGTGTCCGCCCTGCAAGGGCCCAGTGAGATGGCAGGCGCACGAGGAAACCGGAGAGCTTCGAGGCACCACAGGTCAGGGGCCTGCAGCTGAAGCCCCTGCACACCCAGAAAGGAGGTCTGGATCGAGTGAGGAGCCAGGACAGTGATAGGTCCCGCTGGCTGCCACGTGGGGAAGGGTTACAACCAGGAGGCAGCTTAGAAGCAGAGAGATGAGGGAACACCACGAGCTCAGGTACAGCCTGCGAGAGCTCGAGCTCAGCATCCGATGGACAACAGCTGGGTTCACTCACAGGGTCAGGAGCTGCAGGTCTGTGTTTAAGGAGGTAGTTGCAGTTACTAATACAGCCTAAAGCGGTGTGCGTTCTTATTTATCCCAGCTGAGGCTTGCAGTGGAATTGTCAAACTCCACTAAAATGCAGTGTGTTCAGCATGAAATGCTAGGCTATTCAGTGCAAACGCACAGGAAACCGATTAGGTTAAGAGCTTAGTGGCAGCAGGAGGGTGTTCCTTGCATTTCTGATCTCATTTCACATGTTCAGGTTTGTGATTGAACTTATAAATTCACTCCTTACATCATTCCTCACAGATGCTGAAAACGAGGCTGTCTGAGTCGACGTTCAAGGTGGAGTCTGCCACCACGCGTAATGTATCAGTAAACTTCCTGCAGCATAATGCCTCGTGCTCTCGCTTCTTTGTTACTTTAGGAGGCATCCAAGCAACTGAACACAGAGGCCTTACATTTTCTCAGACTTGTGACATAATAGCATTTGCCAACTCATGTCGACATTGTAAAGAGAGGTGCTCACCCAAGTGTTTTCCTAGTCCGTGTTCCCGTTGGCATTTCTGTATTTGGCATTCACACCAAATGAAGCAGCTCCTGCCATAGCCCTATTTCCCAGAGAAACACCTACTAAGTGCCGCTGGCTCTCTGGCCCTGGGCTGCAGCACACCAGGACCTCTTTGTAAGGACGTTTTTCAAAAAAAAATTTTTTTTTAAGAGAAAGAGGAAAGGGAGAGAGAAACATCATGCCCCAATGGAATTGAAACAGTGACCTCTTGGTGCATGGTCAACACTCAACCACTGAGTCACACTGGCTGGGCTGTAAGGACATTTCTTTTTTTTTTTTTTTTTAAATATATTTTATTGATTTTTTACAGAGAGGAAGGAAGAGGGATAGAGAGTTAGAAACATCGATGAGAGAGAAGCATCGATCAGCTGCCTCCTGCACATCCCCCACTGGGGGTGTGCCCACAACCAAGGTACATGCCCCCGACCGGAATCGAACCTGGGACCCTTCAGTCCCCAGGCCGACGCTCTATCCAGTGAGCCAAACCAGCCAGGCCATTTCTTAAAAATATATTTTTATTGATTTCAGGGAAGAAGGGAGAGGGGGAGAGAGAAATATCAATGATGAGAAAGAACCATTGATTGGCTGCCTCCTACACGCTCCCCCCACTGGGATTTGAGCCCATAACCTGGGCATATGCCCTGACCAGGTACATATGACCAGAGGCCAATGCTCAACCACTAAGCCACGCTGATCAGGGTCATTATCCAAAAAATGTAAATAATTTTGTGTCACTCCTTCCTTACCCCAATGCATACATTGCAATCCCTTCGTGGTGAATTCTATCAGTTACCTGATTGGAGACACCTCATCAAGCCACTTATGCTCTTACTGAAAGGCCGCCTATCCCCTCTGGCCTCAAGTCCCAACTGCTAAGCAGCCCTCCCTCTCAGTGGCCTCTCAGAGTTTCAACTCCAACCTGAAAAGTACCCCAGTAAAATGTAACAGAACAGTGCCCAGCACAACCTTCTAACAAAGCACAATAGATCCAGCTTATGGCACATAGCACCTTTTTTCTTACCACGTATCACAGTGTTAAAGAGCCAAATTCAACCAAGTGCACTTGAAGATGTAATTGGCTTTATGAAGTGATTCATGAATCGAGTGGCATCCCATCTAACAACTAGAAGGTGCTGTGTTCTGAGAGCAAAGTGCACACTGGGTATGAGGATGGCGTGACCGGTAGGAGCATGAGGACCGGTCGGGGCATCTGGGAGTGAAGCCTAGAAACAAACGCCAGGACTCATGCGGGTGGTCTGTAAGGTCGAGAAGGGCCCATGGAAGGGAATCGCTGGATTTGGTTCGCTCCACCTGGGGACCTGCAGGTGAGAGCCGTGGGAGCCAGCCTGCGCCCAGAGAGGAGCTGCCAGCAGTACCGGCGCTGTGGGGCGGGGCGGGGAGTGGTTGGAGCTTACAGGGGCAGGAAACTTCCTTCTTCCCTTCTCGGTTCTTTGGCTGATTGACAGACTAACGAGAACAAATTTTGTACCTACTGGAGCCCCATACAGAGATGGGCTGACAGGCTTGTCTGCCACCCTGAGCTAGATGAGGGGGTGGGGTCCTGGGCTTCAGCAGGGAGGGAGATCACCCACAGGAAGAGCAGCGAGCAGATGCTTCCAAGCGGTGAGCGATGGTGCCAGCCCCTGCCCGGCCCTGCAGGTGAGTCTCTGATCTAAGAAGCTGCCTCTCGCAGCAGCGCTCCTGGGAGAGGCCTCTATCCCTCAGTGGCCAAGGGGGAGGGAAGCACTCTGAGTCTGTGAGGCCTGGATTGTCTTCAGCTCAAAACGATGTCCATGCCAGGTGGCCCCGCTCTGGTGGTGCGTTCTGCCCCCACCCGCAGGTGAGGCGGTGAGGCAGTGGCCTGCTGCCTGCGAGCCAGGACTTCCCAGCCTCAAAGGGAAGCCCTCAAAGGGCGCGGGCAGGATAGGCTTTCCGGGGAGGGCAGTGTAGCTGCCAGGCACACTACTGGGCCGGATCGTGGTGGAGGGAAAAGCGGGGTGTATTGACGAATAGGGGGATGGTGCCTTCTGGGAAAAGCCATGAAAAGGGCTTGATCAGAAACGAGGCCGTAATGGGCATTTCTGTGATGGTGGCTGTCCACTGCCCCGCCCCTGCTTCTGGACATGGTGCTGCACCAGGGCAGTGTGTGTAGGTGCAGCTGCCTCCCCTCCCCTCCTCTTTGCCTCTGAAGAGAGACAAATGGATAGAAAAACAGAAGTAATTACAACCAGCAGGGCCCAGTGTGGCGCAGTGGTTGAGCATCAGCCTATGAACCAGGAGTTCAGTTTGATTCCCGGTCAGGTCAGGGCACATGCCTGGGTTGCAGGCTCAATCCCCAGTGAGGGGTGTGCAGGAGGCAGCTGATCCACGATTCTCATCATTGATGTTTCTCTCTCCCTCTCCCTTCCTCTCTCTGAAGTCAATGCAAACATATACAAATAATAATTGCAACTTATTCTTTCCCAGCGGTAGCTCCCTAGGAAAACGACAGACGAGCTTCTCCTTCCCAGGTCCCTGACAGTGAGTGCCCAGTCCTGCCCTGGCCAGGCCAGATTCCCAGCTGTTTCTTTGATCCGGTGCAGCACCTCCCCTGTGGGCTAGAGTTAGCCAGGCCGGCGCTGGCTGCTTGCAGTCAGGAAACTACACACACAGACCTTTCTAAGCTTTCTGTGTGGGGAGCCAGCAAAACCAATCATGGGTGGAAGGCACAGAATTAAGTCTAGATAAAAATAATATCCAAAAATAGACCAATTCACTTAGTTATTAAATAAACTGAGTGTAATGGCACAAATGACCCCCAAAGTTTATTCAGCTTTTATGAGAGAAAAAGCCCCAATGACCTCATAGCTGTGATGGTATGGAGTTAACTACAAATCTATATATATAAAAGCCAGCGACCATAACAACCGTAACGACTGGTCGCTATGATGCCCACTGTGGCCAGCGAACCAGCCCAATCAGGGGGTGGGGCCAGCCAGCCAACCTCAAGGCCCCTCCCCCCTGCCAGCCTGCCCCTAATGTGACTCTCACATCCCAATCAGGAGCAGGGCCGGCTGGCCAACCACACCCTCCCTTCTCCCCCAGCCAACTCCCCCCCGCCCATCAGCCTGCCCCACCACAATAGGCCTGGAGGTGCTCCCCCCTGCTGGCCTGCCCCTGATTGCACCCCCCCACCCCAATAGGGGGCGGGGCTTGCCAGCCAACCTCCTGCCACCTCCTCCTCCCAACAGGCCCAGCCCCGATCCACTCCAATTGGGGCCGGGCTGGCCGGACCTCACCCGTGCACGAATTCACGCACTGGGTCTCTAGTGTTAATATATAAGTGGGTTAAGTCCCCCAACTCACCAATTTATCTGGATTTGCCTGATGACACCTGACCTACTTTTCAGCATTCCAGGCAGCAGTGACTCAAAGCCCTTCCCAGTCTCAGCCCATAAAGTCCTCCTTTTGATAAACCGGACAAGCCTTTAGTGCCTCCCCAGGCACCTGGAAGGCACACTGGCACCAGGAGAGTGCTTGTAACACATGCAACGCACTAAGCCATTCTGGGCGTTCCAGGGTTGAGTCACAACAGGGACACAACATCAGGCATTGCGATCAGGAGGGAGTCGTATTCAGGGGAGAGTTGTTGGGAGGCGGGGAGAGGAACAGGTAGAGCGCCGTGGGCTCCTAAGGGTCCGGAAACAAGTGGACAAAAGAATCCGAGGCGATCCAGTCTGCACCAGGCATGGGGCAAGTCTGATGAAGCGCATTGTGGTGTACAGTTCGTTCGACCTGGTCCTTTTCCGGTTGGGTCAGCCGGGCATGGGAATGGCAAGGCGAAGGTTGGTTACTCCCAAGCCCGTTCTGTCCGCCCAGAGCTTCCACTTCCGTGATGGCTCGTGCTGGTAGACAGGGATGACAGTCACTGTAACATGCTCCGCCTGCAAAGCTACAGCAGCTGCCTGCTCAGGAGCTCAGAGGAGACTTTGGGGAAAATACTGTGTCCAGAGATTTTATGTCTGCCCAACATTTCTTAAAATAGGGTAGGACATGCTTGGGGACCATAGAGGAATTGCTTTGTTCTAGAACAGCACTGTCCAGGGTGGTGGCTGCTGTCCACGTGTGGCTATTTAAAATACATTAATTAACAAGAAAAAACATGAAAAATTCAAGTCTTTAGCCAGATTTCAAGAGCTCAGCAGGCACGTGAGTCTCGTGATGACGCTACCGGACGGGCGCGGTAGGACCTCTCCCTCGTGGCAGGACGTCCGCTGAGCAGCATGGCTCCAGAGAACCTGCTCTTGTCGGTGACAACGGCAGAGACATATTCCTAGCGGGGACGTCTGTGGAAACAGTGCACTTAGCTGTTCGCCTAACCACAGAGGGGCCTTCAGAGGGAGAGACGACAAAGGAGAAGCGCTATTCGGGAATCACCGGTTCAGGTAGGAGACAACACCACGGGTTTATGGGAAAGGGAAGGGGACAACGACATCCGTGGGAGGAAGGCACGTCCACTGGTCAGACAGCAGCAGCGATGCTACTTCTAAACAATGCTTTGCATTTTCAGTTCAGTAGTCGAATGACTGCTTTCCTGGTATGTTTGCAAACAGTTCTTTGGGATACAATGTTGTCCTAGGTCCAGTTCAAAGGTTATTTTAGCCCATTTTATTTTTATTTTCTTAAAATATATTCTTATTGATTTCAGAGAGGAAGGGAGAGGGACAGAGAGATAGAAACATCAATGATGAGAATCACTGATTGGCTGCCTCCTGCACGCCCCACACCGGGGATCAAGCCTGCAACCCAGGCATGTGCCCTGACCAGGAATCGAACCGTGACCTCCTGGTTCATAGGTCGACGCTCAACCACTGAGCCATGCCAGGTGAGATTATGGTACTTTATTTATTTATTTATATTTATTTTTTCTAAATATATTTTTATTGATTTCAGAGAAGAAGGGAGAGGAAGAGAGAGATAGAAACATCAATGATGAGAGGGAATCATCGATTGGCTGCCTCTTGCACGTTGGACTGAGCCTGCAACCCAGGCATGTGCCCCCGACCAGAATTGAACCTGGGACCCTTCGGTCCACAGGCCAATGCTCCATCCACTGAGCCAAACCAGCCAGGCTATGGTACTTTATTTTATTGTTATTATTATTCAATAGATAATTGGGATGGAGATGTGGCATCTGCCCTGTTGGACGTTCCCCTGGTTGAGGTGGAAGATGCACAACACGTTCCCCTGGCCTGGCAGCCCAGCTCCATCCTAAAGGGGCTCCGTTTACATTGTTGTTCACATAGTGATCTTGTCAGGCTTGGGACTTCTCTTCTTGGGAATCATGATCACCTCCTATACCTTCATCCTCCTGTTGGCCAGGATCTGTTTTCACTTACAGAAATCAAGAGGGGAGTAGAGTAGTTTCAAATACATTCTCCAATGGTTTAAATGATGGTTTTGGGCTGTGTTTCATGCTTGAGATGGACCTCCAGTGAATAAACTTGCTCCTCACAGTAAGAGAGGGGGGGGGGGAGGGAGAGAGGGAATTTAGTCAATTATCAGTGAGAATGAAAGCTTTGGTGGAATCATATGGAAAATTATTTCAATAGTCAATTTTCATTTTGGCTATAAAGGTAATTCAGTATCATGAGAAAATAAGCCCTGAAGGATTGTGCTGGACACCCCCTTGCTTTTTATTGGTGGAGAAGATGCTGGCTGAGACGCACCAGCAGGGCTGCTGGCGTTCTCCACACAGGCTAGCAGGTCTGCCACGTGACCCAGCACCTGTAATGCACCGACCACCTGGCCTGTATGTTCACAATATGTTTCTAGACTTAAATGGACTATAGAACTAGTCCCTTAAAAATGATACCTATTTGTTGCCCTAGTTGGTTTGGCTCAGTGGACAGAGCGCTGGCCTGCGGACTGAAGGGTCCTGGGTTCAATGCCAGTCAAGGGCACATGCCTGGGTTGTGGAGTCCATCCCCAGTAGGGGGCGTGCAGGAGGCAGCCGATCAATGACTCTCATCATTGATGTTTCTACCTCCCTCTCCCTTCCTCTCTGAAATCAATAAAAATATATTTTTAAAAAATGATACCTATTTGTTAAATTTTGATTACAAAAGAACATGTACATTAAGTACACTGGAAAACACACGGAGGTTGAAAAGCTGTCCATATGCTTAAAGTTTCTTTCTCTTTTAGTTATGCACGTTTTTTAAAAGTTGTGATTATCCTAGAGCTTAAGCCTGCACACCATACTGTTAACTCTCCCAGCGAGACCGGGTGCCCTGATCTGGAGGTGGGCGCTGGAAGGTGGCTGGAAGGTGGCTGAGCGCCCTCACTCAGGGCGGGGCGGGGGCGAGGGGTGCTGACGGCACCGGGAGGCCAGCCTCGTCACCTGCGGGGAAGCAGGGCTGAGGGTCCCGCGGGGAAGGCCCGGCCAGAGCAGAAAACATCTGGGCAGCGGGGTGACGTGTTGGTTTAATAACCAATTTCCAGGGCATCAACTCAGCATTCATATTCGCTTCAGCTCCGGGGCTTCCTCTCCCGCCACAGCGCCTCCGCGTCCTTGGGGTAGGGTCCCCCTTCTTTCCCGGGCGGGGTGTGGTGGGAGGAGCGTGAAGGCGTTGCCCCTTCTCGCAACCTGGGCAGAGGCACTGACCCCGGGCTTCAGGTGGGACTGGAGCGGTCCGGGGGCGGGGCTGGAGCGGCCCATGGCCAGTGCTGAAGCGGCCGGGGCCGGGCTGGAGCGGCCGGGGGGAGGTTGTGGTGGGGGCCCCGGGCCTGAGGGATAGTTGTGCACGTTGGTCTCGATGGTGGAAAAAGCGCATGATTCTGCGCCAGAAAACGGGCGCCGAGGGTGGACGACATCGGAGATATTCGAAACTT